GGACCGAGGACCGGCAACGGGATCGCAACCCTCGGTGTTGCTCCCGCGCCTCGCTCAGCCAGTGAGCGGGAACCGGTCTGTATGTGGGATCCGAACCCTCGGGCGGGAGTGCCGCCACACTTCCCAAGCGGCGCACTATCCAGTGTGCCACCGGGCCGGCCCCATCAAGTTCCTATTTTCTTCAGTACTCTTACAGCTTGCATCTTCCAAGCAAACTGTAAAAGCCAGAAGAAGCCTATTACTGTATTCACACATTTTTCCACGTTAACTTGTCTCTACAGTGGATATAAATAAAGAAAAATATCTGCATGTGCCTGTAGGTTAAAGAGGAGAAAGCAGAGATAGTTCCCTGTGCTAACCCATCCTGCCTAGATCAACTGACGGGAGAGCAAGGAGGCTTAGCCAGGGGCTTGCCTAGAGCAGGTAGGAGGTAGGGCAGCTGCCAGTCTGCCTTCTTGTGAAACAAAGACACCCAAGCTTCAGATGGAAAGATTAAAAAAGAAAATCTAAACATATAAACACACCACTTTTTACCTCTTGTCAAACTATCATCTTTCCTTTCTCACAAACACAACAATCTATAAGGCATATTCATTTAAAACAATATTTCAATCAAAACAGAAAAGAATTGGAATGAAAGAATTGTCACTGAAAGCTGTGTAACTGACAAATTCATTTGGTAAATGGAGAATTCTCAAAATAATAAAAATGAGAAGTTACCAGATTTTTGCTTAGTTTTCCTTTTCCTCAAATTTAGAATGAAAATGGGAGAGGGGGAGGGAGAGACAGAGAAGTACGCAAGTAAATGTGGCACATATTATTTTACAAGCTTATAGCTAGTAAGTTATGCTGTTACTAGTTGCTCAAGAAGTGTAATCTTGTAAGAAAATGTCCCTCAGAAAAGCAAAGGAGAAAAACCATGTTAAATGAGAAAATAAACATGTAAACCATAGTAGAAACCGTATTAGGTATGTGTATGGGAAACCAATTGGTCTTTTCTAAGGATAGATTTCCCAACAACTTTTAAATATATTTCCTCTTACATATATAAATCATACTTGACTTTTTAATGAGTATTATCTTTTCATATAAAAAATAATTTCCCATGTAAGAAAGATAGAAACCACCTTCGCTCACCTCTGTACAGAAATATTTACTTTGTAAGACAAAAAACTCAAGATCACAGTACACAGCAGTTATTTATTTAAATATGTGAAAAGGTCAATGATGGAAAAAATAGGTTTATAATGAGATTATAATCATTATTTATTTTATCATTTAAAAAAGTGCTGCCTTTAGGTTATATTTACTTTGTAAGACAAAAAACTCAAGATCACAGTACACAGCAGTTATTTATTTAAATACGTGAAAAGGTCAATGATGGAAAAAATAGGTTTATAATGAGATTATAATCATTATTTATTTTATCATTTAAAAAAGTGCTGCCTTTAGGTTATCCTAGCCAGATATAGAACACTTCATGACACATGCAGCTACTGTAATACACTATAATAGACAGAGCCATTATAGAATGATTCACACTTTGGGAGGAGATTTAACAGTAGTAAGGGTGACTGTTTATTTAAACTAAAAACATTGATAATATACAAATTGTTTTTCTCATTTGATTGAAAGGACTATAAAATTGAACATACTGACAGACAAAGCAACATAATCACATAGGTAACACCTCTAACTGCTTTTACCTTACTTCTTCCTTAAAGGAGAGCTGCACACTCAGCTGTACAATTTTCTAGACTGCACAATGGCTTCGAGGCTGGCCTACTAGAAGTGACTGAAAGTTGTGTTGGTAAGCTGACTCTGACTCGTGTGTTTTTAAAAATGGAGAGAAAATGGCAAATTGTGCCTCGTGTACTTACAGAACCCAAAGGATCATTCTGAATAAATGTGAAATAAATAAGTGATCTATGAGTAAATACAATCTCTGGGCTGACTTAAACCCAGAAGAGTGAGCCACATGAGCACTAACAATACCATGTAGAAACATCTAGAAACACTATTTCTAGAACTCAGTTTGGGAGACCATATCTTGCCTGAAATATGTACATTATTTACAAAATATTCCCTTTTTGGCCTCTGAAATTTAGCCATTTTAGTTTGGCTGTTAAGCTGTTTTCTTTCTATATGCTAGCCAATACTGCAGTTATAGCTATCATTAAAATACTCTTATGCATGAATTACAAATATTAATAAAGTAACTCTGCATGTATAAATATCTCAATATTTCTAACAGAATTTAAAGCATTCAGAATATACATAAAAGTATTTGTTTTTGTAGGGCCAGTATTTTTTTAATCATCGCTGTTTCAATAATGCTTTGTACATAGCAAAGCCCAAAACAGCAAAAACAGTAGCACCAAAACTTGCTCGAAGCCAAAACGTGGAGCTCTTGAGGTCAGCTTGTGTCACATGCCTGTGGTCAGAAAATATAATTAATATTTAAAACATGATTAGTATGAAAACCTTATAACAGTTATATAATAGTCTACTTTTAGGGAAGTATTAGCACACTTGTCAGGATAATTGCATACAGTAATGCTTACCAAAAACATTTATCATATAGCCATGTACACAGTGCTTAAATAAGCATTATCTTAAAAAAATGACATAATGTAGACATTAATAAAGAGAAATATTTGCAATTAGCCACTACTTAGGAGGAGACATCTAAAATTGTATACAGTTTCTTCACATGGGAAATGAAGTTCACACAACTTAATCTCCTGTCCCCAGTAACCAAAAGCTGCCTTGTAAGCAGTTAAGTGACAAGTGACAATACTTTTCTATAAGCAATAATTAAAGTCAACTTTGGAAACATTGAGCCCCATAAAAATTTACCAAAAAAAAAAATCCCAAAGGGGGAGGACAAGATTTACCAGTTTGCATTAATTTGGTTACTTCTAATTAAAGAGAAAAAACCCCTGGTGTTAGTCAGACAGGCAGTGATAATGGTACCAACTAAAGGACATAATGTAACATGATGGATTGAAAGGCAATGACATAAAAGAAGCCATAGTATGCATGACAAGAACAGGAACAGCCTGTACCACACAAACTGAGTTTGTGACCATGCTCAGTTATAACATTGCTAAGCACCCTCAAGAGTCTCAAGTATGACAGCTTACCATGAAGAAGATAAAGCTTTAAAGCAAAGGTTGGAACTTTTTATTCAAGTGTCACTGAAGTCTTAGTTAAGTGAACACAATTGAGGTGATGTAGAAAATTTACATAATTAAGAGCTTAGAGCGACTGTGTAGTTTAGGTTATTTTACAACTAAGTTTAACAAACAGATTTGAAGCAAAAGCCAGATGTCATTAAAAGACCAAGACACTGACATATGCAAAAGAGTTAAGAGCCAAGAATTCAAATTGTACAAAACTACTTTGCCTCAGTAATAGTCACAGAATGATCAGATTAGTTATCACAAAATGCAATCTGTACATTCCTAGAAACATAAGTCTACAATACAAGTGAGTGATCCATGCTTATCACCATGGCAAAGCAACACAGCACTCCAATTTCTCATCCTCACTAGTTTTTATTTGGGGGAAAAAAAAAATCAGTCCTCAAGTAATTATTTATTATAAAGCAAAGTGATAACACAGGTTCATTCCACCTTGCAAGTTAGTTCTTCCAACAGGCAATGTTTAATTTAAAAAAAAAAAAGTTAGGGAAGAGAATGGTTAGGTTTCAGTTTTTGCAGTTGGAAAAACTCCAACAAGGCCAATCCATTGGGTTCGGGAAATGTTACCTGGCTTCAAGAAAAAGTGGACCATGAGATGACTCCATGAAGATGGAATCTTCTACAGAGCTGACAGCGTGCACCTGGTGAGTAATACTGCCTTCGTCGTCTGCTAACAGCATGGCACCCCACTCAGCTACCCGGGCTCTTAACCTTTTATACACATGCACAGTTTGCAGTTCACAGTAGAGCTCACAAAAGAAGTGGACTCAAAATAACATCTCTCAATTAAACATCCCATACATAAATTGAGGTGCAACCCTATATGATGCATCTCATGCTTTCTATATTTAAAATAAACATATTCTATAGCAAATTGCCAAACTTAAAAAACAACAACAAAAACTCTATCTATATGAACTCCTTTTAAAACATTCACATCAGACAAGGAAACCTAAAGCTGTTACATACATTTTCTGTATATCCCTCTGAGGCTGGTCTTGGTATATTTGAAACACTAAGAAGTCCTTGACACCAGTACCTTAAGCAGTACCTGACAACATGTGGTAACCATAAGTATTCATTTCAAATGAGGTTAACAAATACTAGTCATGAAGTTTATAGATGCTTATAATTTCAGACTCTCAAAAGCTATAAATATACATCTCCAAAAAATTGAGTCCAGCATCCCAAATTCATAGACCACCTTGGACCTCTGATGACAGTAACAAAGTTTACAACTGTAGGTCAATAGGGATGTATAAAATTTAAAGTGAGAACATAGGCTAACAGAGCATTAGAGCTTTTGCTTCAGCTTTGGTCTTCCTGGGATTATCATCTATCTTCACTGATGGAGGTTTCTGTTTTTGTTTCTTTCTACATTTATTTTTTAATTTAGGGGGAGAAAGGGATTAGAGGGATTAAAGGATTAAAGCTAGCTGTAATCACACTAAAATCAGTCTATATGATTTCTCATAAATATTCTTCAAATATAGATGTGTTTTACCTAGCTCCCCTTGTGTTTTAAGAAAGTATTACCATTTGTGAAATAATATATTCTGACTAGCTTTATTGCTTAGTTTTCTTTTGCATTTCAAGATAGTTACTTTTATTTTCCCCAAGCTAGAGTATAGCCTTCAATAGGCAAAACAGATGTACATATCTACGTATAAGAAACAATATAGACACACGTTCAAGATACAGCTAGTATAAAATTAAGGCAACTCTTAACTTAAAGAATATATTTCAATGGCTCCATCAATGGTACAATAGTATTTTGAGACACTCTTAGACATGGAAAATGTAAATGGTTAAGATCTAAAAGAATAGAGTGATCGAAATGTATTCCATAAGTATCAAGAACTAATTTATGTTTGTCATTTCAGGTCTCAAGCACAGGTAGCTTTTTTTTTTTTTTTAAATCCTATATAAAGGTGACCGGTAAGAAGATCTCAACCCTTGGCTTGGTTTCAGTACCACACTCAGCCAGTGAGCCAACCGGCCATCCCTATATGGGATCCAAACCCGTGGCCTTGGTGTTATCAGCACCGCACTCTCCCGAGTGAGCCACGGGCCGGCCCAGCAGAGGAAGTTTCTTAAAGCTGCTTCCTAGTTCATTTCTAAACTCCAGCAGAAATAATTCTCCCACAATTCAAAAGCATAATTCTTTCAAAACGACTCAAAAAATATCATCTTAGAATAAGCCATAATATCTTACTGCACTGTTTTACTTTCTCCTTAAAGTTCATTTTCTTTTATACTATAAAAAAGGTAATATAGGGCCGGCCCGGTGGCGCACTGGAGAGTGTGCCGCTTGGGAGCGCGGCGGCGCTCCCACCGAGGGTTCGGATCCCATGTGGAGACCGGTTCCCGCTCACTGGCTGAGCATGGTGCGGGTGCAACACCGAGGGTTGCGATCCCGTTGCCGGTCCCGGTCCGGTACGGGCGCGACACTGAGGGTTGCGATCCGTTGCCGGACACGAAAAAAGACAAAAAAAAAAAAGAAACTATATAGAAAACAAAGTGGGAAGAAAAAAATCAGTATGTATCATCTAAGACAACTCATTAAAACTTTGGGCATTTCATTTTAGACCTTTCTTATGTATTTTTTACATGTATTGTGTGTGATATTTAACTTTATATATTTTTAAAAACTTTTTCATAGACTATGAAAACATTTTAAATAGCTGCACTATATTCCATGCTCCTATTGCTAGTGATCTCCATTTATGAGTGACTACAAATAAAGTGGTATCTTCCTACCCAAGATTTTTCTCTATATTTAGTAATTTTCTTTAAGATAAACTTCCCAGAAATAAATATTACAGGGTCAAAAATATGTGTGTGAGCATGTGTGTGTGTATAAACGTTCGTTTTTTACTTAGTGATATATCAGCATCACCAAATTTTCCTATTCTATGTGGAACAAGATCATTTAGTTCAGCAGTATCTCTTTTTAGGACATAAGAGATAATGAATAAATGCTGGAATACAGTTTGGGTAGACCTTTTCCAAAATGCTGGGGATCAGAAAAGTTTTGGGTTTGCGATTTATTTGGATTTTGGAATATTTGAATTATACTTACAGTTCAGCATCTCTAACAAGAAAATCTGAAATCTGAAAAGCTCCAATGAGCATTTATTTTGAGCATCATGTTGGTGCTCAAAAATTTTGGATTTTGGATTTTCAGATCAGGGATACTAAACCTGTATAATCCTAATTAATCATTTGTAGCTTGTCAGAGTTTTCATGTTCTCATGTGGAAAATTCCCACATCTGGGATGCTGGCTCTCTGGCATAGAAGTGCTGAGGGCCCATATATAATTAGCTGTCAAGCTGTCCTTGACACAGGTGTGAGAGCCAACCAACATGTTTGGACTTGGATATCATTAAGACTGCTACCTAATAATACAGAAAGAAGAAAATATTTCAAAATTCAGCCAATGAAAAGCTAAATGAAGAAGAGTTGGTGTAAACAGTCACACAGGCATATACAGGGTGACCAAAATTTGTGTACCTTTGTACTGGATACCTTAAAGAAGGCATACAAAATGCTTTTAATTAATTCTGCAACTTATGGTTTATATAAAAACATGAGCTAAAGACTACTAGTTCAATGGATGTAACCAATAATAAATAAAGGAAATGTCATCAATTGTAATATTTAGAAACATAAAATATCAAATTCTAAAGGGCTTAAGGGAATTAAATCCATTTTAGTTATTCCTTTTTTTTAAAAAAATAAAATATCAAATTCTAAAGGGCTTAAGGGAATTAAATCCATTTTAGTTATTCCTTTTTTTAAAAAAAGAAAGATGACCAGTAAGGGGATCTTAACCCTTGGCTTGGTGTTGTCAGCACCACACTCAGCCAGTAAGTGAACCGGCCATCCCTATAAAGGATCCAAACCCGTGGCCTTGGTGTTATCAGCACCACACTCTCCTGAGTGATCCACAGGCCAGCCCATTTTAGCTATTCCTAAATAGAGTATTTTTAATATTCCAGTTGAAATTGTTTTTTATAATCTGTCACATGACTTTATATCTGGGGCATAAAAACTATATTACAGTGACTTAAACGTCTGCAAAAATTAGAATTTGAGGAAGGGGAAGAATTCAGAAAGGTCTAGATATCAATTATTCTTATCTTAAATGGAAGGCTATTATGCAGAGGGAAAGAAACGCTCAGTAAAACATCCTCAAATGCATAAAGCTAAGAGTAGCTCCACCCA